ACATTTACACACACACACACACACACACACTCACTTATATATGCACTTGGATAAGTATAGAAACAACAATTTTAAACGCCCACTCATAGATATATTAATAGCAGTACACACACCACACACACGTACACGTACACGTGCAATCACAAAATGCCAAAAAATATAAATAAAATTGTTTATGGAAAATTCATAAATCATTAAGTTGGGTTGCTTGATGTGAGGAAATGACTTGAGGAACAAGAATTCAAAAAAGTCGGTTTTGTTAGAAATATCTCCATGCATGTACAAAATATTGAGCATACGAATGAATGAGTGAATGAGTAATGAATGAATAGTTAAAGGAATGAATTAATTTTTGAAATATTTATTGAATGAATAAAAATTATTTAAGCCATAAATAACCATAAGCGAAACTTTGAGAGATCAAATGGATCTATGCTTCAAATAGACAGATGAATAGAAGTATGCAATCAATATGAAGATGAATGTGTCGAATGAATGAATGAATGAGCGAATGGATGAATGAGTCAATGAATGAAGAATCTGTTCATTTGTATTTATGATCTCCTTCTCCAATGCATGAATTATTACTGCTGATGGAATTCTTTAATGTTATTTGGCAATCAACTGTATAAAAATTTAATGACTGATTTAGGTTGATGTATGTATATTTTCTATATTACACAACACAACCACACACACACAACACACGCACACCACACACAAAGGTTTATACACGCTTAAGAAAGTGAGTGTTTGTCGGTGTGTGGTTTGTGTGAGTTATATTTTAAAGTTAGTCAGTCAGTGTTTTAGCCGCTGGACTATTATAGTTGATATTGAGTTTCGATTTATGAATGAATGAATGAATGGATGGATGGATGAATGAAATGGATGAGTGAATGAATAAATGAAGTAGTGAATGATAGATTGATGGTCGTGGAATCAATATATTTGTTTACGTTTTTGATAATTTTTGTCTAGTTTTTGAAACGTTAGAATGTTTTCCACTCACACACAAATGAACAAAAACAGGCACACACACACACACAACACACGCGCACACACACGCACACACACACACACACACACTGGCCTGACATTTTGTTCCTTTACATCGAAAATCTCACCACAAATTTCTTACTGTCTTCCAACTTATTTATCATTAAGTCTATCAGTGTCATAATTTTTCAACCGTAAGCTTACCATTCTTTCAAAAAAGGTTCTTCATCATGTTCCGGTCATCATCATCATCGTCTAGCTGGTGTCGTCATCGTCATCACCATCATCATCATCCTGTTGTCATCATCATCCTGTTGTCATCATCATCATCATAAATATCATCTAATATGATGATATTTTTATCTAAATCGTGAAATTATTTTTAGACCTTTTAAAGAGTTGGGTATTAACAACATTTCAGTATCAAAACTAACAAGAGCCTCAGCTGCCTTCGTTACTAAATACTAACACTATTACTACTAGCTTAATTAATATGTAGTAGTAACTAGACTGATTATACTACAGACGAAACTTGAATGTTGAAATGATAAGACCTAACAATACGTCATAAGTATAATATAATAACACTTGGCAGCCATATTTAGCAAGGTATCGACGTGTTTTTGTTTTTCTGTTCGTCATATTTTCAATCTTCTGATAGATTGATTTTGTTTGGCTTAATGCAAACATTTGATTGTTCTATAGATTTTTTAGCTATTTGCTTAAAAGGTTAGATGGTAAGTTTAATTATAGATGTTAATATTATTGATTATTTGTTGTTGTGTTGATATTTTTTGTTGTGTTGTTGAGTAGTTGTCGTTGTAGTTGGATCATTCTTTTCGTCATTACATTTTACGTTTTGAAAATTTAATAACCTTTCAGTATGCAGTACATAAATTATATATTAGGTTTTTTTTTTCAAGTTTATCATGTCATATTTTAATTTGCAGCTACGAAAACGTTCGTGTAAACCGCGCGCGCGCACGCACACACACACACACACACACACACACACACATACATCACACACTCTTTTGTCTGGTGGTGGTTTTTGTTGAACAATTGAGATCCAAACAAACATGAACGTATAGGATTGTTAATGGTCTACAAAAAATTATGATGAACAACAGGTTGGTGGGGTATCAAATGGTTACAGAGGTTTGAGGGTAGATTTTTGGCACACGTGCACAAACACGTACTGACACACGTACACGAACACACATGCACATATGTTTTTGAGGGGGTTTTTGTACTGTTACGTAAGCAAGTTAATGAGTTGATGCCTGAAAATAAATCACAGTTATGTTTCGTTTTATTCACATTCCTACTTCAACTCGATTACTTTAACTGATGTTGTTTGTTTTTCACAGCCTGTTTAATTGTTCTCTTTTGTTTCTTATTATTTCTATTTTTCTTAAAGTTGTGACATGCAAACGGTTGAAGAAGCTGTTGTTCAATAACTGTCATAAAAATAATAATAAAATAGTTTTTGTATTTATTTAAGATTGAATTTTTAAAACTTGAAAAATTTTATTTCGCCTTGGAGAAGTTTTATTTAAAGTGGTTTCATTAATTTTATTTCTCACTGCAGTAGTTGCTTTCTTTCTTAAGCATGAGGTGAGTAATATAGTTAAATGACTGACGTGGAATGGTATGCAAACAAATACTTGCATGGGTGGAGGTAGCTCTATGTAGTGTAACTCTTCAGAGCTTTACACTTCTTTTAAAAATTTCTGTTGTTAGTTAAGCGAAATTTTTAGAAAATAAAATGAAATTTATCCAATGAGAAGATAGTTTATATTAAAATTAGTTCATTTCAAATTATTTACAGATTTATAAAAGATATGAATGTAAATAAAGATGAATTTCAAGAATTTTTCAACACCAGTGATGACACTAAATCTGAACGCGCACCCGCATCTTCTAACAATAATAACAACAGCAGCAGCAGAAACAACAACAACATGACGAATATACCTCTCCAGATAAATGATGACATCATTGTTTCTTTTTGTAAGGATAGCAGGCTGCCACAAACCAGCCAAGGAGTTTCAACTTTTCAGCATCCATCCGACCATGATATGAAAACTTCTCATCTCTGCAGTAGTAGTAGTTTGACCTCTCACAAGAAAAGAGCTCACTCAGATAGTCTTCTCTACAAATTTAATTCTAGTGATGAAGAGATAGAGTCTATAGAAAATAATGAAATTAATAAAATTATGTTTATAAACAGTGAAAAATCTTCTGTCAAAATTTATAATTCGTCTGTTAAAGACGGATTAAACGCTAAAAAATTTAATAATAATAACTTCTCAAAATGGATTTCCTACCCTAATTCACCGACGTACATTGGAGGACGTGCAAAGGACAGCTTCGCCATCATCAACAGGTTCAACAGCAGCTCCCTCTGTGGTAGTTATGCTGAATGCGCCTATAAACTGGAAGATGTCACAAGCCAGAGACATCGAAAGTGCCACAGAACAATCAACAGTCCTAAGAAATCTCCAAAAGATTATTGGATATTGAAGCACAATCAATTTTTTGATGAAAAGTTCAACAAAAAAGAAGGAGAAGGTTCTGTACCCTGTCTTCTTGCAGAAAAAAGTGGCAGCAGTGGCAGTACCTGTTTGAGTAGAAGCACCTTAAGTACCATTATAGACAACAGTCCCGAAGATGAAGACATCTGTGAAGATGGAGACGGTAAGAACGGAAATTCAAACAGCATTTCTCTCACCGACGCATCTTCTAAGTGGATGAAGCCCAAAAAATATTTGCAGCACAAGTATCAGCAGCAGTCGTTTGACAATGATGACGTTTTTATGGAAACGTCTGATTCAGCTAATAGGACAACAACCAGCACAGCAACAGCTTCGATACATTCCTCTAATGAACCGTTAACGACAACAGAACAAGCTTCAAATTTTCATGATGATGATGAGGATGGTGATGATAAAAAGGATGGCGACGACGTTTCGAAGAGCACGACATGTACCATATTCACATTCCCTCCTCCATTTAACAACAGTCCAACAATGCAATACAGCACCGCCGCTAACATCAGCAACGCAAACAACAACCACGCCGTTTACAACGACAAATTCATGTACAGAGATTCATACTTCTCAGAGACAGAGTCATACGGGCTGTTATCTCCGAATGCGTTTAGCTCCATAGCTTCAAGTCCCGGCATCATCAGCCCTTCTGATCTTCACAGTGACCTCAAGGGCAAATCTTTTGAGTTCCTTCCAATAACGTCCAACTTTAAGAAGGTTTCCATCAAAAGCAGGCCTCCCCTATCACCATTGGTACTTAGTAAAGAAGATAACTGTGTTCTCATAAAGGCTTCAGGTGTTCATTCGAAAGTTAAGAAAGTTGATTCCTTGAATTTGCAAGTTCTCAATTTTCAGCCTACAGTGACATCCATGGTTTATAAAGACAGAGATTACAGTGAGGAGAATCTTAGGGCCCATCGTAGTTTCACTGCTTCTCCACTGAGTTTCAAACTGCCGCCCAAATCATTCTCATCAGTCTCCCAGCTGCTGTCACCACCATCTTCTTCAACTTCGTCATCTTCACCATCTTCGTCGTCATTATTCAACTCGATAACAACATTGCTATCTTCAATTGGCAGCAGGAACATTGAAACGACTTCAAGTTCAAATTTCAAAGTGCCATCAATTCATGATTGCACTGCAGTTGTTAAGAAGAATCCTTGCGACGTTCTTAGCACCGCTGACAAGATCAATTCCAATAACGCCGGTAACACGAAATTTGATAAGGTTGATAAAAATCACAGCAGCAACAGTTCTAATAATGCAGACTCATGCGGCGGTCATGAAATTATCGATAAAGTCGTCATTGTTGACGAATCACGTTATTGCAATATTGCTCCGATTCAGACAGCTGATGAAAAAAAAAAAAAGTTTTTTATAGGGAAAAAACAAAACTTTGTAAACGAAGTTGATTCAATATATACGAAGCAAAGCAGGCCAACAACAACCGATATGCTTTCATCCGCGTATAAAGTTTTTAATTTTGATTATTCTCCAACCCCACTAACATATCCAACTTCTGATCGGGCTAATTTGTTAAAGAACGCTCAGCCATCAACTTCAACATTTGTTGCACTGGATGGCAACAAACTGGCAAAGGATGACAAACTGGAATACGATATACCCGACGTCACTGATAAATCAATTGCAACAACAACATCTGGTATCGTCATTGCTCTCAAAATTCTACCAACCACATCAACAAACGCTACATTAGCTCACGCCACCACCACCACCACCACCAACATCAACTGCAACAACAGCAGCAACAGCAACGACGAGATTATTAGCACGAACTGCAGAGCGCATTCGTGTAAGATTTGTGAGAGAGTTTTTTCAAGGAGTGACATGCTCTCCAGACACATGAGATTGCACACTGGCCAGCGTCCATACATCTGCAACACCTGCAATCAGGTTGCAATCTCACCCATCATCATTATTATCATCGTCACCATCGTCGTCCTCATCATCATAGTCATACTTTTTCATCATCGCCATAGTCATCCTTATCGTCATATAAGTAATTTATTTTGATGTATTGTTCAAAGTTTTCTTCATTACGATCGTCATCATGTTAATTTAATCGTTATAACTGTTAGCATATTTCAATTGAAAGAGAACAACATTAATTTAAACTGATATGAAATTTAGAATATAAAAATTTGATAGAAGTTAGACTCATCACCCACTTATTCATTCACTCACCCACTCATTCACCGACCACCCACCGACCAGGTGTTCAGTAGGAGCGACCACCTCCAAACCCACCTACGCACGCACACAGGTGAGAAACCCTACAGGTGTTCATCCTGCTCGTACGCCGCTCCACGTCGGGACATGGTCACCCGGCACATGAGGGTGCATGCCAAGGGTAAAACACGCCGGGGCAAGAAATCAGCTGATCCTCACAGCGCTGGAGGTGCTGTTGATGATTCGCGGGCTGGAGAGAAACAAGAGGATGACGTCAGAAGTTGTGAGAGGGACCTGGAAAATGTTTCCGTAATCGTTGATGAGAGGTTCTTCATAAGGGGAAGTAACAGAAACGCTGACAAGAATTTGAAAGGTGGCAGGAAGAACTGTCGGGGAGGTTCATTCGGTCAAATCAACAGCAGCAGCAGCAGCAACAACAATAAAGTCAGCAATTGCGCTAACAACATCAACAACCAGGGCAACAGTAATTTCGTTACTGATGACAAAACGATCAATCTTGATGTCTGTGCTAAAAATAAAAACTGTTCCTTCGTTGGAGTGCATGTGAAGACAAATGTCAAATTCGAGAGAAAGTACTCCGAGAACAACTTAAGTTCAAGAAGTTCAAGTACTCCTCCGCCGCCACCCTTAGAGTTTATTCCAACTACAACAATGATGTCCAGCGAGGTAGAGAGCATGGACACCTGCCACTTATCGTCAGCACAGGCTAACCAGTTCTGCATGAAATTTGGCCAAGATGTGGACGAAAATGTTGAAAACAATGTGAGAAATAGTTGCTCAATTTTGTGGCGGCAAGAAGAACAACATCAAAATTTTGCTCAGCAGTATGTCGGCCTGCAAGTGAACGAGTTATATCAAGACCATTTGTTGCTCATGTTGAAACAACATCCTCAATATTTACAGCTGCATAATGAAGAACTTCAAAATGTTTTGAAACAGCAACAACATCAATCGCAACACAAATTACATCAGCCACAACATCAACAACAACACTTTCAACCTTTAGATCTCAGTACAGCACAACAGTTGCACCACAACCTTTCTCCACATCATTTCAACCATCGCGACAAACAACCAAATACGCAGCAGCTTCACCAACCTCTAGATTTGAGTCAGATGCCGACAACAAAGTTTTGTAACTATCCACTGTTCAAACAACAACATCAACAATATCTTCAGCATCCTGTCCAACAAAAGCAGGAATTACAACAACAACAGCAGCAGCAGCAGCAACAGAACACTTCAACAGATTTGCGACGCATTGTAACAGGCGGTCAGATTGAGAAGAAGAAATCATGTCCTAGATCTCCTCTCGCAGAACCCTCTGCTGTGCACCAACAACAACTACAATTACAAAAACAACAGCTGTATAAGCAGCAACATCGTCAACTGTATCCTGGCTCGAATGTCGCAACAGATGTCATTTCAATGCAACAGCAGCAACAACAACAACAACAACAGCAGCAGCAGTTTTTTAGTCAACTGCAGCAAACAGAGGCACAGACAAATTCAGCCACATCACCATCTTCATTTTCCAGCCTGAAACAGCGATCTTCCTCTTCATCTTCCTCCTCTTCTTCAGCACCATTTCCTCCTCTCTGCCTGCTGACGACACGCTGCGACTCCTCGATGAGCATCGACAGTGGCGTTTCCTACTCGACTCCAAAGAGCCTCAAACATTCAATCAACTCGCCTGGAATCCTCTCAACAGACAGCAGCGAAGTTTTTACTCCATCTTCTGCCGGTCCAACTGCATGCTGCTGCTGCTGCAACGATTGCCTCGCTGAGAAGTTTGGTGGTGGTGGCGGCGGTGGTTGTAGTGGTGGCATTTCAGGTGGTCACGTGGGAAGGAAATGTTCGTGTGAGTGCAAGATGAATGTTGGAGATGGAAGTGGAGTTGGTGGTTGTGATTGCGTGCACGGTGGAGAGTGTGAACATTGTAGCAACAACTGTACTGCTGCTAAGTCTTCTGGTTCCGATGACATCAACAACAACAACAGCAGCAACAACAAATGTTGCGGTCGAAACAGGATGCACTTTTTTCGGTGGCCACCTGTAGTTAATTACAGCAGCAATTCATCATCTTCAATCATCTCCTCTCCTAACACATCTTCCTCATCAGCAACAACGTCATCATCTTTGTTATCATCGTCGTCGTCGCCATCATCATTCGCGTCGCCGTCAATTTCATTATCATCCACTTCATCATCACCTATATCGTCTGGAAAGTTATCAAGAAATAATTACGACCCAGTATTCCAATATTAGAATTTTAAGTCGCACTGTTTTGTGCACACCAAACATGTATTCATGTGCTTATTATATATATATGTACGTGATTCGTGTATATAGTACGTTTATGTGAGTGTATGTGTACTGTACATAAATGCCTGTATGTGTATATAAGTATGTAAGTATATGTGTGTGTGTGTGTGTGTGTTTGTGTGTGTGTGTGTGTGTGTATGTATGTCTGTTTGTCTGAGGGTGTGTGTGGTGTGTGTGTGTTTGTGTGTGTATAGATTATTTTGAAATATACAAATTCTCACAAACATTTTCATAGGCGCGATGAATTCAACTATTAAGTTAAATTGCTTCCTATTCAAATCTGCGCTTATCTTCTCTCCTAGTTTGGTTTGTTTGTATGTTTATAAATATAATTATTACTACTGCTACGATAATCATAATTACTACTACTATAATCATAACTACTACTACTACTACTACTAACAATAATAGAAATAATTCCACAACTTCATTCACTAATACTATATAGCATTTATATTGTTGTTGTCTTTGTTGTCAAAATGATATGCTTATTTTTTAAAGTACAACTTTTGTTTCTAGTATAATTATTACTACTATCGTTACTTCTTATTTATTTATTTTATTGCCGTCATTAGTACTACGAATTTAATGTTATTGAATTTATATGTGTGTGTGTGTGTGTGTGTGTGTGTGTTTGTGTACGTGAGTGTGCGTGTTTGTGCGTTAATTTCTAGTTGAAACCCCGTTGTCTGTTATCGAGACGGAAACTATTTAAAATGTTTGTCATGTGGGATTCATTGGAATTTTAATAACGTGGAAGAATAACGTAGAAAATTTGAAAAAGAATCACTAAAAATGAATTTGTCCAACAAAAAAATTCTTAGGATAGACAAGATTGGAAGAATCTCGAAACGAAAGACGCTAAGATGAAAGAAAAATTTGGCAGAAACTAAAAACTAGATAGTGACCATCCTATCCTGGATTTATCTGAACACTACAAAGAAATTTCATTAAGTGACATTCCCTGGCTACTTATATGCGTTTACAAGCTTTTTAATATTATACCCTGGTATGACTATAGTACGTAATTACTACTACTACTACTACTATTACTTCTACTACTTCGACTACAACTACTACTGCTTTACCATTAGTAGATATTAAATCCTTGGAATTAAATCCGTTTTAAATGTTAAAGACTGATGCCTTTAATGAACGGCTGTGTTCGTGGTTGTATGGCTGCGTGTATCTCTGTGTGTTTGTTTCTATGTTTGTTTGTATGTATGTATGTATGTATGTATGTGTCGCATGTGAGCGTGTGTATGTATGTATGTATGTGTTTATAATGGTGCGATTTTTTGGGGTTTCTTATTGAGGGAAATTTTTTTAATAGCTGTGATGTTTTATTATGTTTTATTAAATATGTTTTAACGCTGGCAGGAATAAAAATGTTTGCCACACTATTAGTAATAATAATATTTATAATAATATTTATAATAATAATAATAATTGTAACATAACGTGTCTGTCTGTCTGTCTCTCTGTCTGTTTCGTTGTTTTTGTTTGACATTTTCATTTAGTTTGCATAAACATCATACATATAGATATATACACATTACACACGCATATATTTGTATACAAATATTTGTATGTTTTTATAGTTATATACTTACAGTAGATCAATGATATTGAAAACATTGATTAACCTATTGGTTGGATGTTTTTTTGAGGTGATTGAACAGGATGGCAATGATGAAGATAGACTGGCCAGCATTGTATTGTATGAAGAACGCCTTGATGTTTAATTCAATGTTTAGTTAGTTAAATAAATAGTTTAACACACACATACAAACACACACATATCAATCAATCAATCAATTTTCGTTTAGACCTGCGAGGTAGGACGTTGTTTTCTTCACACCACACACAAACACAAACATGCATATATACATCAAACACATATGGAATACATCGTCGCGTTCGACGAATTGTGTCATTGATGAGTCCTTTGATGCGAGAACAAGCCTATTCTTGATGAACATCGACGACCACAGGATCCGCAAAACCACAACCCTGTGCTGTTACCATCCCGGGCCACCTGCTTACGCCGTCCTCTTTTTCCAACTAGAGCTGCAATGCGCGCCTCCTCAAAGGCGGAAACTGCCGCTTGTGAGCGTGTCTTCCACTGTGAACGCTCGAGCGCAACGACACCCAAGGTTTTAGAATCCAGTCCGACTTTCTTTAGGTTTTCCTTCAGATTATCTTTAAATCTGCGAACTGGACCGCTTGCAAGGCGAACTCCAGAAGCCAGCTGTCCGAAAAACACCTGTTTGGGAATTCTTGTGTCCGGCATGCGGATAACGTGTCCCACCCAACGAAACTGTGCCTGTAACAAAAATGCCTCGATACCCAAGAAACCACACATTTCCAATACAGTTGTATTTGGCACCCTATCCTCCCATTTAACGTTAGCGATAACCCGTAGACATCTCATATGAAACTAATCGAGTCTACGTATATGGCGCCTATAAGTAATCCATGTCTCACATCCATACAACATTGTGGTTAACACAACTGCCTTATAGACAGATATTTTAGTAGCCAGCGACACACCCCGTTCCTTCCAGAGTCGTCCACTCAAACCACCAAAAGCAGCACCAGCCTTGGCAATCCTAACCGTAATTTCATCATCGATTGCAGTAGTGTTGGAGAGGTAGCTACCAAGGTAGCAAAATCGATCCACAGCGTTCAACTGCGAGCCACCAATAGCTTTGGTGCAGAACCTCTGTTTTCTTCCTGCTCACCGTGAGTCCAAACCTTTATGCAGTAGTGTGGAAACAGTTGAACAGAGCCTGAACTTCACTTTGTGTATGTGCAACCAAAGCGCAGTCATC